TGTATGGATATTTAAGCCTATACCTGCCTGGATTTCTACCTCCTATGTCTTTCCATCTGCTAAATCCCTTACCAGGCCTCGGCCTGCCATGTCCCTTCTTCCCCTTGACCCATCATCCCAGCTGTATTATCTTCAGATCCACCGGATCCATGACGTAATCATCATGGTCACCCCTATTATGCGTATGTGGTGTAGCGGGATCAGCAAAATCTGCGAGATTGCCAGATCCAACTTACCAACTGCGCCCCAGACACCGACTAACGGAGGGGGTCCCCCGATGATCCGTGTTCTGCTGAACTTTCCTCACCTTGTGTACCCGTCGGTAGGGCCGGGATCTGCTCTCTCGGTAACTTCCGAAGAGTTCAAGTGGTGAAGCTTGAGTGTCTTGCCGAGACGTGGGGATGGGGTGGAGCAGCAGTGGAAAATCTTCACTCTGCGTCCGTGGATGGTTCCGTATCCTAAGCGAATATTCGAGCTTATGGATCCGGGGCCTAGATCGTGGATCTGGCCGTAGGGTTGCCTTGCGGGTGTGTTCCCTTGCCTTTGTGTTGTCCTTTAAGTCGTACTTGCCGCCTCCTGTGACGGGATCTTGAGAGTTGAGAGCCCCTAGGGTGTAACCGACCAAGTAGTAAATTCGGTTAACCTGTCGGATCTGCACAAGTAAAGGAAAAGCTCACTAGGTTGTAGGATCTGGCCAATGTATTATCCAGTTATCACTACCAACACTAGATTCGCAATTCCCAACCTTCTCGGAGCTCGTACGGCCAATGTAGTTCCGGTTCTTGAGGGCAGGAAGGCACTTGCGTGTCACTGTGCAAATTGGAGTCTGTATTGATATTTAAGCCTATACCTGCCTGGGTTTCTACCTTCTATGTCTTTCATCTGCTAAATCCCTTACCAGGCTCGGCTGCATGTCCCTTCTTCCCTTGACCCATCATCCCAGCTGTATTATCTTCAGATCCACCGGATCCATGGCGTAATCATTATGGTTACCCTATTATGGGTACACTCATCAGGATCCAGGTTGCTTGGATCCACTTCACTTGAAAGTGTACACTCGTCGTGGATCTGAGCTCTCCACTCATCCAACATCATCTCGCAACCGTCTGTGATCTCCACTGTCCCACGAAAGTTCTAGATCCACTGCATCCATCATACCTATACCCTGGATCCAGGTCCCTTAAGGCGGGATCCTCCCTCCTTGGATCCTAACTCGAAAGCATAGGATCCGGGTCACCTCGCGGTGGATCTTGACTCCTCGTTAGCCGTGGCTACTAGATCCACCTTTAGAGGGCACCTATCATCCTTCCTTCATAGGATCCACACCCGATCCACTCTTGTATAGTATATCCCATATCCATTTAGGTGAATCCAAGTAAAGGTGGATCCGAGGTAAGTCTTGGTGGATCTTGCCTTCTCGTACATCGCTCATACCAGATCCATCGTCACTTCATACGGGGCGCTGCTCGTCATGGCTAATCCACCACCGGCAACTTGCATCCGTGCCAGCCAACCCAAATCCTCTCTAATCACTTGAGATTGTCATTGATTCGGGATAGTGACCCCGCGTCAGGCCCATTCTCTTATTTCTGAGAAAGCACTTTACCACACAAGTGCCTTCCTGCCCTCAAGATTCGGAACTACATTGGCCGTACGAGCTCGGAGAAGGTTGGGAATTGCGAATCTAGTGTTGGTAGTGATAACTGGATAATACATTGGCCATATCCTACAACCTAGTTAGCTTTTCCCTTACTTGTGCAGATCCGACAAGTTAACCGAATTTACTACTTGGTCGGTTATACCCTAAAAGATCTCAACTCTCAAGATCCCGTCACAGGAGGCGGCAAGTACAACGCAAAGAAACTACAAAGGCAAGGGAACACACCCGCAAGGCAACCCTACGGCCAGATCCACGATCTAGGCCCCGGATCCATAAGCTCGAATATTCGCTTAGGATACGGAACCATCCACGGACGCAGAGTAAAGATCTTCCACTGCTGCTCCACCCCATCCCCACGTCTCGCCAAGACACTCAAGCTTCGCCACTTGAAATTTTCGGAAGTTACCGAGAGAGCAGATCCCGCCCTACCGACGGGTACACAAGGTGAGGAAAGTTCAGCAGAACACGGATCATCGGGGGAACCCCCTCCGTTAGTCGGTGTCTGGGCGCAGTTGGTAAGTTGGATCCGGCAATCTCGCAGATTTTGCTGATCCCGCTACACCACAGCTGCGCCCGGGTGGATTTGAGCCACCGACCTGTGGCTTTCAAAGCCAGCGCTCGACCACTGAGCTGAAAGGGCGTTGCCCTTAAGCTTGTCCATTCAAGGACAACAGTTCATGGAACGAGAGGGCTGTGCCCTGGTGGGTTCGAACCACCGACCTGTGGCTTCCAAAGCCAACGCTCGACCACTGAGCTAAAAGCGGATTGCTCTTAAGCTTGTCCAAGCGTGAACAATTGTTCATGGAACGACAGGGCTGTGCCCTGGTGGGCTCAAACCACCGACCTTTGGCTCTCAAAGCCAACGCTCAACCATTGAGCTAAAAGGGTGTTGCCCTTAAGCTTGTCCAAGCGTGAACAATCGTTCATGGAACGAGAGGGCTGTGCCCTAGTGGGTTCGAACACCGACCAATCGCTTGTGAAGCGAGTGTTCAACCGCTGAGCTGTTGTCGACGACTCGAATGAGTCAAGAGCATTGCTCTAAGCGGTTTGTAGCTCTTGGAGTAGGCGCGGAGCGCGAGCGAAGGTCTGAGACCGCTTGAGAGCAAGATGCGCGCTGCGCTTGGAGCATTGGGCCGTGGGCCGACGACAAGAAGTTGGGCATCAACGATGCGTAGGCGTTTGTGAGCTCACGGAGCTGTACAACGCTGGTGTGAGGTGTAGTAACCTCCGCCGTCTTAACAAGACGTGGCCTCGCTGAGGAGAGTTTCGAGAACGGAATGTTCTCATCTTAGTGGGGGAAAGTGTAACGGGGTTACATGGTGTGGAGCACACAGGGGTACGAAGTACCCGGAGAGTTAACAAACTCTCAGTACATAAGTTGGAGAGTTAACAAGGTCTCTCAGTACGTTGGCTGAAAGCCATACGTTATGCATTTGATTAGGTTTAACTATGCTAGATAGTTAAAGAGATACATTTACCCCTAGGCGGCTTGGCCGCAATAATAGTAAATAAAACACTT